TTATTTATTTATTTTTATTTTTATTTTTTTTTCAAAATATCAAATATTCAAAACATGTATTGAGAGTCGGGTCTTAGACTTCTGATAGTAAGGTAAGTAGATTGAAACAATTGTTAACCAGCAGAGGAGAAAAGTGCGAATAACTGTGGTTTGTAATGGAGGTATAGCATATGGTGTTTTATGATGGGCAACTACAGAGGAGACAGGTAGAAAGTTAGGGGATGATAAATAATGGTAATTTGGAATTACTACTGAGGAGTGAAGGCAGACTATGAAAGGCTTATAGGTAGATAAGAATTGACAAAGGTCAGGTTTGTGAGAATGGAAACCTAGTAGGAGGAGAGCCCGAGGAACAAGGTAGGGGATAGGGGAAGGAGGTGTGTCAGTAGGTTCATCAGGAGATGAATATCTCAGAGAGAGACACTTGTGACAAAAGGAATTCACCTGAGTAGATGGAATCGCTGTAGAGGAATTGGAGGATAGTTAAGAGAGTTTTTTCTTGGGAAGTTTTGGATGCTTTTGGAGGGGCATAGGGTGGGGAGGTTTGGGAAACAAAGGATTTTTTGTGAGGAGGTAAAGAGATGGGCATTTGAGGATTAGAAGATGTAGATGTAGGAATTGATGTGGTAAGTGAAGATGAGGTGGAACATTTAACATGTCTGGTGCAGTAGGTAAGGCGAGGAAGAGCTGGATTAAGAAATAGAAGAGGTAGAGGTGTGAAGGTGAGTAGGGGGAAGAGGTACTGTAGAAGATGTAGAGATAGTTTGGTTTGAGGGGAGAGGAGTAGAGTGATGATAGTATTAGAGTATGGCGTAATAGAAAAACCTCGTCGACATGCTTCCTATCAGGCCTCTTGTAGAGTAAGGCCAAGTTTGTATCTAAGAACTACTACCTCAGACTCAAACTTGTAAGTAGGGAAATTTGTATAAGATACATTGTGGGAGTAGCCACAATTGGCTTATGTACATGATTGTGCAAGGAAATTTGAACAGTCATGGCCAGGCTGGGCACATAGAGGACAGCGAGCTGTGGACTGATAGTGCTTTGCAGGGTGGCCAAAAGCCATTTTGGGCATTGCCATGTGGTGGGTCTAATACTCTGCTGATATAGACTTTATGGGAAGGGTCATATCTACCGAGGGAATCTTGGCAATATTGATGTGGGACTTCAGGTGGCTTAGTTTAGCACTGCACTGATACTGCATCATAGTGAGGCAGGTGAGAAGGTTGTCTTCACAGTTTGACCAATCCTTGTTGTAGACAGGGCAGTCAGCTAGGGAGTCAGAAACAGTTCCATACAAGTATCAAGGGAGGAATGGGGTTGGGCAGGAATAGGCTTACCAGTGAGGTCAGCCAGGATAGATAGTACATGGGCTTGGGACTCAGATGTAACAGTGATGCGTAAACGATCAGGAAGGCTGTGGAAGGTCTGTAGAGAGCCAAGGATGGGAGGAAGAGGGAGTGCTCTGAGGGAGAGGGCAATAAGGTTGAAGAGTTGTAATAAGGGAGGAGGATGTCGGAAATTGACACAGTTGTGCAGGAGATGGGGTTGAGGAATGGGTGTCTTTTGGAGGTTGAGTTCTGCCCCAATCCCTTGCCATTGTTGTTTTGGGGGGACTTAGGAAGCCTCATCCCTTAAGGCAACTAATTTTGCACGGTCTCTTTCCCCCTCGTGCTTTTTCATTTCTGTCCCTTAGAATATCCACTTCCCAAGGTGTGAGAGCTGTGCTGAAAGGATAGAAGGTTGACTTTGTACCAGTCCTGAACAGCCTGAAGGAGCCATGGGCACGGTATTTCCCTGTTTTAGTTGTCTAGCCCTCACCCCTCAAGGGGACCCTGACGGGTGGACTGTTTCTCTCCCCAACATAGTCTAACATGGCCAATAATGAAGTTATACCCTTGTTAGGGGCAGTGGGCTTGCCCCTTCACCAAATAGCCCCACTAGATCAAACTCTCCCAGTTCCCCAACCCCAGGCTCTCCTTTGACCAAGAATCTGGACACTGCAATTACTACCCACTCCTTAAGGGGGCCGTCGAATTAATATTCGACGAAGATTTAAAAAATTACTAATTTTTTTTTTTTTTTTTTTTATCTCCTGTAATCTAGTCGGCTTTGGCAGTCCCGTGACGTAATATTTCTGCTAAATATGTGAAAATAAAGGAGTTATGACTAAATCTCTGACCCCCCCTCACCTCCGGCTCTGATGTTTACTTTGTCACGTCTGAGCTAATAGACTCGACAAATTAGATTTTCTGGATTTTTTTCTATTTATTTGGTAGTCTCTCGTAGCTAGCTGGCAACTCTTCTGAATCAGCTGACATCCACAAGAGAGAGAGAGCGAGAGGCTGTGCTGCCACGCCGTGACCTTGGACCCGGCACCATCCCACCATGTGATTCGCTCTGATCACACACTAAGAGGACTCTACTAATGATAGATGTTATTCCTGTTACTAATATACGTAATATCATAAATATATCTCAATCACAGCTGCAGCAATTGGTTATTCGTATGAAATGCCTCTGGAGGAACTGCGAAACCTGTGATGCCACAGGATACTTCTAGAATCACGTGCAATTCTTGCCATTGGTACCTTGCAAAAGGGGGAACCAGGTACCAGCTACACTTCAGAATACCATGTGGATACCATAGAAGGCATCAAGATTGACGCAGAGACCAGAATTCTAGAAAAAAAAAATACGGGGAAAAGTATCAACTTCAAAGCCCGATATCTTAAAACTACACCTTTGTCGACATACTCGGGATTTTAATGGGGTTTGGATCATTTGAGAGCTGAATAAATTTGCGATTAAAGTGACAGTTAGTTTTTCATTTTAGGGGATGAAAGCCGATATATCATTTTATATAGGTATGAATGAAGATTTTAAAAAAGATATTTTTTACACTAAACTAAGCGGAAATTTCAAAATCTATTGGATAACTTTTATAGGTATTGCTATAGACTATATGTGGTAATTTTTTAAACAAGTTCGGTCAATGGATAATTGAGTTATATATATTTTTTTTAATTTCCAAAAACTTATATTTTTTTAACAATAATTTAATTGATTATTATCCAAATGGTATGAAACACGGTGGTGTAAATCGTAGTATATGTATATATGACATTAAAAAATCGCAAAAATCCGATCATAATTAACGAAGTTCGTTCTCGGTTGCGACGGCCCCCTTAATGCCTACTAGTACATTATCCACTTAAGTGAAGCCTCAATCTCCAGGACACATTTCTACTCTCCCAACTTCCTTAACTTCATCACCTCTACCCCCACAACCTTCTTCATCAATCACCCCATCCTCCCTTATTACTACTTTACAGTCTTATTCTCCACCTTCCTGTAATACTACCCCCCTCAACAATACTCCCTCTTCCACACGTCCCTGTTCCTCTACTACTCCCATTTCTACAAATATTTTAAATACTCTTTTTAGCCCAGCTAAGTGGGACCAATTTTTCATGATCCCCCTACAGCTCCTTGCTCTGACAACTCTCCAAAAACAATGTTTCTGAAAACAAGCAGGCAAATTCTCTTTCCGCAACCAACCTGAAGGTTCCCGTTTCATTACAGTTTCATCCGAAAGCCAAGCTATAGCATTATCAACTCTAACTGATCTCTCTGGCAACTCCATTTATGCAGAACCTCTTCCAACCCTTAATCCCTAGCCGACAGGTGGCATGTACGCACATGCCATGGCTGTCGTGGACCGAAAGACGGGTGGCATTGTGTCATACCCATTCCCGCGCCACTGGCTCGTCGGACAGAGTTTGTTTTTTTCAGATAGTAGCGGCTTCATTTATATGGTAAAGATTTTAGGCAATGGCACCTATCATAAAGGTAAACCTTTAAAATTTTAATATTTTTTAAAATTATAGCAAAATAAATGCTTTAAGGTGCTAAATGTCGCTCGCAAACTACCGATCGAGCCGGGCGCAAACAGGGAAAACTGCAGATGTGCGCCAACAAGCCCGTCTATACGTCCAATTACCAAACATTGTTACCCGTCGGCAATGGGTTAATACTTGTACCAGAACTGTCTATCTCCCCAGCAAACTGCCCTATCTATAATAAAGATTAATCACGGAATATGGTGTAATATCAGTACAGGGCTGCTCCATTCCTCCTAGAGGTCATCATATGAACCCCACCAACATTGCCAAAATTACTTTCTGTATACATGTTTACATTAGTGGAGAATCCCTCTGTCTAACCATATCAACCTTCTCCCCGTCGATGTCAAAACTGTAGGCGTTTAGGATAGCCTGCCAAACATTGCCATTCCACAGCCCAATGCTCTCTATGTGCCCAACCTGGTCATAACCTATCAAACTGCTCTGCACAATCACACACACATGCTAACTGCAGCGACCCCCATAATGTATTTTATAGGGGATGCCCCACCTACAAGTTTGAATCTGAGGTGGCAACTCTCAGATTAGTCTCAGGAAGCACATCGACAAGGTTTCTCTCATACTCCCTCCTCCACTAATGTCGCTCGCTCTACCCCTCCCCCTCCCTCCCAAGATGTTCCTACACCCTCCCTTATACCTACATCTTACTTCCCTTCCCTACTTCTATCTCCTACCTTCCCCAGTCAAATTCTCTTGCCATTCTAAATCCAGACACTCCAATCTCTCCTGCAGCCCCAACACCTTCCCCTCTCCCTCCCCGCACTACCCACAGCAGACAGACTAAATATTCCAGTCCCTCTTCTCCTACCACACACTCACCTCCACCTCCCTTTGCCTCTATTCCTCAGACACCAGTCTCCTCTTCGCCCCCTCTTAATAAAACCTTTGTCTCACAAAATTCTCCAACCAGCTCCACTACAGAAACTATCTGCTCAAGTTCAAAAAATGACACCAAAACTCCTCACCTACCACTCTATCCCTTTCACTTCCTCCTGGATACACACATGAATCCCTTATATCATGACTATACCCTTCCCCATATCCTCCCCCTCCTGATATTACACCCCCCCCCCTCTAATTCCTTGTCTCTCCTTCTAGCTCCTTCAAATTCTCCAAAACGCACTGTAACTGATATCACTCGTAGATCAAGTAAGTAATAGCTCTCTGACATTGGAATATTCACAGTTTCTGTTCTGACAGAGGTGACCTTCATCATTTCCTTTCTTCTTATAACTCATCCATTATCTGCCTCCAAGAGACTTTACTTACACATCCTCCTGTTCCAATTCCCAATTCCCATATGTAATGTCCCTCTTTCAGTTCCATACATTCAGTTGTCCTGTTCACGCTTTGCAACAGCCCGCACCTCTGCTTTCCTCCCACCTTTCCTCCCTTCACCAACCTCCCAACCTATCAGACATCCTTACAGAATCCCACACTTTCTGCTTTGACAACCTGTTCTCCTTCCTCACACGCATACATATCCTTCATTTGATCGAATCCCCTTACCTAACCCCACCATAACCCATTCACTTATCAACTCCTTAATGCCCATTACAATACCTTCTTGTAGTGCTACATGATCTTAGATGTCTAGCATATTTGTTTTGCTTTTAACCATTAACCATTAACCATTGAAGGTTGAGTTATAACCTGGGTAGATGATTTATGTTTGGTTAAGTTGATAGCAAGTGTCAACAAGGGGGTGTAGTAGTAGTGGTCATCTTCATCATCAAAGGTCGATAAACCGAAGGAGTTAGATTTAGAGAGGCTAGTTGATAAAGGAGCAAGCCTCAGTGTTCCTCATAAGGATACAAAGTATTCATCATTACTGGCCTGAAATACATGGGGAAGCTAAAAGGTCCACCCATCAAGGTACCCATAAAGGGTTAGGGCTAAACAGCTAACCAAGGGAATATTGGACCCATGGTTCTCTGAGGCCAATCATGCCTAGCACAAAATCAGCCTTTCATCCTCTCAACATGGCTTTCACTCCTTAGTAATTGGACAGGGGAAGGAAGTGGGGAAGATAAGGAAAAGGAAATAAGGAGAGGAAAAGACCATACAAAATTAGTTAAGTCAAGAGCTGTGTTCTAAGGTAGAGGTGCTACCTTACATTGGGCCTCAGTCTCTGTCTCCTACCTCCCCCCCCCTCCCCCCATGACAGCAACGGGCTAGGGATTGGGAAAACATCAGAGAAACTATACTCTAAAGGAAAATATGAAATTGATTGGATATGTATTTTGTATTATATCTATCGCAATCATTACTAAATTTTTAGTAATTTTGTACTTTAAGCACTGCATTCCTTTTCTTGCTTAGTCAGAAGTGCACCCACATTTGCCTCTTCATTTGTTTTGTGACACATTTACAGAATGGTCAGTGTTGCTGCAGAGAAAACATTTGTCACTTGTGACAAATGTTTTATATCCGGTGTCACAGGTGTGCCTTTTGAGTGCAGATTTGCTGCTGATGAAATCCTTGTGTGACTGTGCTTTATAATACTACCATCATGAAACTAACAACCATTGGGAGGGTTTGATTTTTTTTTCTTTCTTTCTTTCTTTCTTTCTTTCCTGCTGTCAAAAGTGCACTTAAAGTAACTGCTTGTTATATATTTTAACTGAAATGATTTTACCTTCTGAAAATGACTTTTAGGTTAACTCAGAATATCACATACTTAGCTTGTGTCTTACAAGCAACCAGAGAAATCAACTTACACAACATTAAACAGAACAAGGCCTTAAACAAAACGTAAGCCCAACTGATTTAAGTGGTCCTGAAGGAAGAGGTTAATATTGGACATGCTTCAGGGTACATATTGATATACCATTTTAGGTAGTCATTACTAGCTGTACAGTATAATGATAGATCTTGCATAAGGGTCATTAATTTTTGTCATCATTTTCGCTAGTGTACAAAATGTCCTTGTCACCCAAAACCACCTCTTCACTTCCAGAGTGTACAGAGGATAAAGATGATGGACTCTATCTCAGGATCTCCAATTTGATTTAGACTGTCATTTGTTTTATATAAAAAGTGTACATCAGAGATTATATATATATATATATATATATATATATATATATATATATATATACACACACATAGAAATGACCCTTAGGCATATTCTTTGAGTAACATTTTTGTATACAAATAAGCAAAAACTTGACAATGCATATGAAAAACACTTCTTTTACCTTTCCCCAGAGAGAAGAAAGAGCACTGGATGCAGCACTTGATGCCATTCTGCAGCGTGTGATAGACATCAAGAGTTCCCTGCAGGAACTGATGCTCAAGATTGAGAGGGAAGGAGAGCAGGCTGACTGGCCTTCCTATCTGGATGCCTTCTCTGTTATCTCTGCTCAGGTTTGCACCACAGTTTTATGTTGAGTGATTTTTGTGTATTATTTGTTGATTAATTGCCCCAAAAATATGAAATTGTGTGTGATTAAAAGGAAATTTATGTCTAGGGCATTTTCAGGTAATAATTTCCTACTTTTCAAAAATAAAATATATGATAATAAGATTCAGCAAAACTTCATAAATTTGGTATTATATCTATACATATATTATCATCATCTGGGGGCTAATGCCGACGGGGGCACATAGCCACATCCACCCTTTGCTTCCACCTTTTGGGGTCCCTCATGGCAAGCCGCCAGGCAGGGACTCAAACCATCTTGAGCTCCTCATGACAGGTTTGATCGATCTGCCCAAGCCATACATCCTAGGTCGTCCCACAGGCCTCCCTCACCCAGGGCTGTCTCGTACAGAGACAGCCTGGTGGACAGGATCATCCTGGGGGAAGCGAGCCAGGTGGTCGTATAGCTTGAGTTTGTGATCCCGGATTGTGCAGGTTACAGGTCCTGCGCCAGTCTCACGGTGCAACTGTTGGTTGGACACGTGGTCCCACCAACTGTACCCCATGATCCAGCGCAAGGACCTATTACAGAAGGTTTCAAGACATGACTCCAAGGCATAGGATAATGTCCAGGTTTTACAACTGTATAGCAAAACTGGCATTATCAGGACCTTGAAGACACATAGCTTGGTCCTTCTGCACAGGTACTGGCATCTCCAAATCCTCTTGTCGAGAAAGTTCATGACCCCTGCTGCCAGGCCAATCTGTCTTCTGACTTCCTAGTCTTACAGCCCAGAGTTATGAACTACACTACCAAGGTATGTAAAGCTCTCTGTGACTTCAATGTCCTCGCCGCAAGCACGTACAAACCGAAGAGGTTCTCCTAGCAAGTCCCCAAAGTCCTGGATCTTGGTCTTGGTCCAGGAAACCTCTAACCCCAAGGGCTTCGCTTCATTACTAAATGCATCGAGGGCCACCACTAAAGATTCTAAGGACTCAGATAGAATAGCAACATCATTGGCAAAGTCAAGGACTGTAACCTTGATATTGCCCAGAGTTGCTCCACAATGACTTTGATCAGTAACTCTGCCCAGTATCCAGTCAATGCAAGTATTGAAAAGTATTGGTGCAAGAACACAGCCTTGCCTCACTTCTGAACTAACAGGAAAGAAGCTCGACAGGCCCCCATCACACTTTACAGCACTTTCAGTACAAATATACAGACTTGTTATCTGTCAAATAATACTTGTAGGAATTCCTCTTAGTCTCAGGATCTCCCAGAGTGATTCCCGATGCACCATATCAAAAGCCTTCTAGAGGTCGATGTAGGCTGCAAGCAGCCCACACCCGAACTCACAACAGCACTCTACAATGACTCGAAGCGCAAGGATACAGTCAATTGTGGACTTACCAGGAGTGAATCCAAATTGCTCCGGCCTCTGGTGCCTCAGTAGATGGTCTCAGATACGTCTCAGAAGGATGAGGGCAAGAACCTTGCCTGGTATGGAGAGCAGTGTGATGCCTCTGTGATCCAGAGAGGGAATGATACTAGACCGCCAGATGGCAGCCAGGAAAGCATGCAACCCACACGCCATAGGTCCCCCACCAACCTTTAACAGTTCAGCTGGGATGCCACAAATGCCCATTGCTTTGCCACTCTTCAGCTTGGATATCGCCCCCCTA